AAGCTCCCTGCAAAAGATAAGACAGCCCAGAGAGGATCAGATGGAATAGTTTCAACTGGTACATCTTCCATGTTCGAAACTGATGCCAGTAAGCCTTTGAAAATGTAATCAGATCATACTGGCCCATCTACTTTAAGTCAGTCCAGAGATGCATCCTTAGAAGCTTTTCTGATTGTTTATTTATTTATTTGTAGCTGGTTATGATACACATTGTTTTACTTTTGTTGCTTAATCTAATCTGGATAAAAACGTAGATTCTATTAAACTTTAGTCAGACGAGAGTCTAGATCACACTTGATTCCACATTCTGAAGGCTCATAGGGTAGTAAAACAACTGATCCAGTAACGGCTTGATGCATACAGCTGCACTGCTCAAGTGGCCTTCCTGAATGTCAGTAGTGTCTACGAGGACTTTTTATCCGTTAAAGTAAATGAGGAAGCTTCCTTTCTTTTGTTTATTTCTTTCACTGGATATTAATCCAGTTTAAAAAAAAAAGACTTGTTTGGATAAAAATAACTTATTCTGTAAACATTATTTTAAATGCATGTAGGACTTCACCTTTAATCTGGTGCAGATACTATACAATGTCACCCAAATAATCAGTTAAGATGGATAGAAGACAACGTAATGTTCCAATGAAGGTTTCCGGGATACAAGATAAAATGGAAAGTCAAATGTTTGCCACCTATATCAGCTCATATTGGGCTCACCTCTTTCTCTAACTTCTCAGCATCATGTAAGCATACATCTGAGGAAGTCCCACAGTGGTTTAAGCACTTTTTTAAAAAATTTCATAGATTTATTACTCTAGTTTAGTGCTTCTCAACCTTGAGAAATTTAAGCTGTGTGTACGTCAACTTCCAGAATTGAAGCTAGTCTTCAATCCCCATTTCCAGCTAGAAGTTTTTCACAGTCCTATCTGAAATCCTGGAAAACTTACTGCCATTACAGGAGACTAAATAATACAACTGTGAAAGGACCAATATCATGGCAGCAATAAGATAGCTTTCCACGTGTCTAAATATTTTGGCTTAGGAAACAACAGGAAGCAAGACTAGTTTCGCATCAACTTTTGAGTTAACAAATTACAGTTGTACTTTGAAGAAAATGACACTAGAAGATAATCTGAGGAAAAGTTGTAAATAGTGCTCACACAGTCAAGAGAAGGTTGAATATGTCCCATAATCAGTTGTTGGAAACACAACTTCCAGGAGATTTTATGACACAAGAGGTAAAAAAAAAAAACTTTGTAAAATTATATGAAATTAAACACATTCATAATGAGAAATTTAATGAGAATGGATTTAATCAATTTTAATGTATCTCCTCTTCCAGCAAACAAATAAATGCAACTACAGAAATATTACACCATTACGAAAAAGGCCCGATTAAAAAAAAAAGAAAGATTAGGGAAACTCACGGCTGTTCTCTTTTGACAGTGTGCCAAACGGGAAGATGAATTATCCTCAAACTGACGGGGAAGAAAAAGTGCTGAACGAGGAGCTGGAGTGCAAAATCTGTTACCAGAAATTCACCCTCCAGAGTCGCAAGCCCAAACTCCTGGACTGCCTCCACCGAGTGTGCGCAAAATGCCTGACTAAAATCCTTCAGGTAGGAAGCGGCTCGCTTCGCATTAGCTGCCCTTTCTGCCGGCATGAAACGGAGCTGCGGGAAGAAGAAGTAGAAGGACTCCCCGATGACTTAAATATCTTGTCCAGACTGGTGACCAGAGACAAGTCGACATGGAATTCAGAGTGCAAGGAAGTCCTCCTGACCCCAAAGAACTTGGCTTCGTCAAGTCCTTCGCGCGGCTCCTCCAACTGCCTGGTGATAACCATCATGGAAGTACAGAGAGACGCCAGCTGGACTCCCAGTCAAAACAGCCTCTCGGATTATTACACAGATCAAAGCCTGGACTCAGAATCTGTCAATTCCACCAACCAGCTGGACCAAGACGTTTTCTCCAAGCTCTGTAATCATGTTCCCAGAATACTAGTGTGGCTGCTTGGGTTTTTTTACTTCGGTTCTTTGCCCCTTGGCATCTATTTATTAGTGATTCAGAAAGTCACTCTGGGAATTGTCTGTGTCAGTCTCGTGCCATCCAGTCTGACCGTGTGTCTTGTGTACGGTTTTTGTCAGTGCCTCTGCCAAGGGATGTGCGACTGTTCTTCTAGAAATTGATGCCAAGCGCAAAAGGGTATTTTGAGACAGCTCAAAGTCTACACCGGGGTCTTCAAACGTGACAGCTTTAAGATTTGTGGACTTCAGCTCCCAGAATTCCTCCTCCAGTC